AGTCCCTCTGGGTGGACTCTAACCTCTAACCTTTCAGTTAGCAGTGCAGTAAGTTAACCACCTGTACCATCCAGGGACCGGTAAGTCACAGTGCCAGGGTTCAAATGCAGACTGTGTGGCTCCCGAGCAAACACTCCTAAGCACTATGATATTCATCGACCTCTCTTCATGCTGTATTCCTAGCTGTGCCTAAGAGGTTGTGACATCATCCATGGGTTTTTCAGTAAATAGATGCTTCGGAATCTAAATAACTCAGGAATTGGAATCTGAAGTCCCATTTAAGAGTGATAACTCAAAGAGGAACCCATTATTTAGAAAATCAGATTCCATAATAAAATTCACTAAATAAGGAATCTCAGAGACCTAAAGTGTAGTATTCTCATGTGCTGTTACTAATTTTGGGGTGAGATTCTACGTTTAAAATGAATGATGAGGAAACTAAGGTCAAGGCAGAATGTTGAAAGGTTTGAAAGCTAAAAGTGTGCTCTTCATTCACCTGCTGCTGCTGCTGCACTCTACCAGGTCTTTCCACTCTCTTGAGCCTCAGTTTCTTTATCAAGCTGTAAATGGACATCTCAGGCTTACCCCCAATTATCATGGGGTCTCCTTCTCCCTCTCTCCGTTAAGTTTCTCTAAATATTTTAGGCTATCCCAGGACATATCACCCACACCCCACACAATGAGAATTACCAGTCACTGCTTGGTATCAGCTGTTCCCTCTCCTCTTTCACTTCAATTTTCTCTTGCCCTGTTCCCTACTGAAGTAGCCACTGGAAGCTGACTTGCCCCGGCACTGCTTTGTGGTCTGCTTCCATCTCTGAGGTTGCTCTGCCTCAAGTCTCAGAAGTCATCAATTCATTAGAGCATCCCACTGATGTGAGAAGGTTCTGTCCCTGTTACAGTCATATCCCTTTTCATTAGTTCATTAATCCATTCAACGATGATTTATTGACTGCCTACATGTGCCATAATCTTACTCAGTATACATGCACTACACAGACACTTTCCCTGCCTTCATGAGCATTATATTCAAGAAGCAAAAAGAGACAATAAAGGGGTAAATTACAATATGGTGTCTACAAAATAGGGAAATATTAACAAATAGAAATAATATCATTAAGGACATCTTCAATCTGTAAGACCAAATATTAACTATGTGTTTTAGTTTCCTAGTGCCACACAAATACCACAATGGATGGCTTGAAAGAACAGAATGACTTTTCTCATAGTTCAGGATGCTGGGAGTCTGAAATCAGAGGGTGGCTCTAGGGGGAGGTCATTCCTTGTCCATTTCAGCTCTGGTAGCCAGCGAGCCTTGGTGTCTTTGAGCTTGTAGAGGCATTGTTCTCCTTCACCATCAGATAGAGTCTGTCTCCTCCTGAATGAGCTTCCTTCTGTGTTGAAATGCTCTTTTTAAAACAGAAGTTATCAGGTTTAGGACTCATCCTACACTCATATGGTCTCATTAACATAACAAAGAAAAGTCTGTTTCCAAATAGGTTAGGATCCCAACACAGAAGTTTTGGAGGCTCCATTCAATCCGTAATGCTGTATTTCCTGACTTCATGAATACTCTGTACAATGGGATGAGTGTTATCATGGGCAAAGTACAGGTGAAATGGGAACAGAGGAAATAGACCTAACCTAAGGAGTCAGGGAAGGTAGTCTGCAAGAAAGGACAATTAAGCTGAGAGCTGGATAATGCGCTAAGAATTGGCTTCAATAGGAGAAGAGGCTGTTGGGCTGCCATGTGCTGGATCCCATTGTCACACTTGCTTCTCCAACAAGGTGTTGATTATGAAGGAGACCTGGCCAGTGCCCCCAGAATTTCTGCACCAGGCTCTCTCTCTCGCTAGGATGTTTTTGTGAGTGCCTTGAAGTAGGCCAGAGTCTCCAAGTAGTGCAAATGGTTAAGTGCTTGGCTACTAACCAAAAGGTTAGCAGTTCAAATCCACCCACAGGTACCTTGGAAGAAAGGCCTGGCATTCTACTTCCTAAAAATCACAGCTATTGTATACCCTACAGAGCACAGTTCTGCTTGGAAAAACATGGAGTCACCATGAGTTGAAATCAATTGGACAACAACTAGTTTGAGAGCCAGCCAGAGCCCTGTTCTTTAAGACAAAACAAAACTTTTTCCTCTGTCTGGGTTCTCTGTCAGCAGGTGTTCTTTCTTCAGGTCTAATTTCCACAATCTGCCCATTTGATGTAAAGACTGTATTTCAGTTTGAAGTGTTATCTACACGTCATCTGATACCAATATCTACCTCATCAAATGTGGATAAGGATAAAATGAGATAATGTGGGTTAAAAGACTTCATAAACTGGGAAGCACTCTATAATTGGCAGTGCTTATTATTATTACTATTGTTAAAATAATTATAATAATTATTATTCCCATAGAAGCTATGTGATTAGGTCAAGGTCATGCAGAAAGAGTAGACACAGAGTCGCCTACCCTGACATTAAGCGCATGGGGGAGCTCACAGCATTTCAAAGATTCATGCTCTTGGCTGCGAAACTCTCCCCCAGTCAGGTATCTTGTGCTATATTCAAGATTCCAGGATGACTGCCAAGTTATATAGCCAGGGCCCTGCACCGCGGATACCACAGCTCCTTCTTCAGGTACACTGGGGCGTGCTGCAGTTGCCAAGGTTTTCCAAAAGCACAGTTAGCATTTATTTTGTTTAATTCTTACATTATGTTCCAGCCTCCTCCTAAATGCATTTGTTTGCAGAAAGAGCCACGAGGGGAAGTTCAGCCCACAAATAAGAATATAATTATTACATAGTTTAGCAGTGCCTGGGTGTCGCCCGGGTATTCACTGGTGCTTCGCAATTCAATTGTCTCTCCTTCAAGACCATATTTAATAGGATAAACAATTTCTGCTAAATGCAATAAACGTGAACCTGGGCTGTCATCTCCATAATCAACTCAAATTTCACATTAGAAGCGGTGGCTGTGATTGAGATTCAGAATTTAATTTGGCGGTGTCTTTTCAGCGTGCTAGTGTTGGCTTCATGGGAGCGCCCGTCAACCAAAGACAGACCACTTGCCCTGTCTCTGGGGAATCTTAAAAGAAGATAGATTATAACTCAAGAAAATTATACAGCCTTGGTATAATGAAAGAGATAAAACATTATTGGATTAGCTTGTTGAAATAATAGCAGACGGCAAAGCAATAATATTAAACTAAACAAGAGCCCCAAACCAGTCAGCTCAATTGCTGGGAAGACAGCGATGTAGGAAGACAGACAGAAGCTGCACTCAGGGCTACCTTGTCTGAGAAGTAAACAGCTCCTGCAGCTGGTTGTTCTATTGACTCGATTCCAGATATCTAGTTGGGATGGATTAGTAGGCGACAGGGACCAATACTTTGGTATTGTGAACATGTTAAAGACTCAGGCCCCAGAACTGAGCCATGTGGCAAACTTGAAGCAAATGATTTGGCTGAAAACAAATAGGTTGAAAATGAATAGGAGGAACCCATTCATCTTCAACTAACTGGTTGTTTCCCACCACTTTGATGTCAACAAACTCATGTAGTGCTTTGCAATTCTAAAGGAAGTGCCTGAGAGCAAAGAAAATCTTAAGGAATGTTTTAATATGATGGAATGAGAGCAATTAAGCTTAAATGATCAGTTGATCAATTAATTTTTAGAAACATAGAAATTGTCTTCTTATCCTTTTCTTTAAGCTACAGTTCCCCAAAATGGCATTTGCACAAAAGCATGAGTGTGCAGAGTAGAATTTGCAGGCAATTTTGTGATGAAGAGGAGGAAGAGAAGGGGGAGGAGGTTAAGGCTGCACACCCACAATCATTTACTTAAAATTCTCCTTATCCTTGTCTTTTTTTTTTTTTTTTAACTTTCTCTCCTTAAGTTATTCATTTCCTTGAGCCTTTTCTTGAGCTCAGAAGGTTCCCTGGACACCTCCCCAGGTCACTCTATTATTAAACATACAGATTCCATTCTGCCTTGTAACTCCCACTTCCAACTGCATAATCACACTCTTCCTAGCGCTCAGCAGCAAAGCATGTTTAAAGTAGCAGAGCCCACCTTCCTCAGAAGGCAGTGGATGGAGATATGTCAATAACACACATGCACTCCTACACACACATACACACACACCCCTACACATCCATAGAGTGCCCCAAACTTCCCTACACACTTACACACACTCACACTCATATATTCACATTCACCATACATTCCTACACACTCCCACACAATCACACATACACTTACACATACTCATACACAAAGTAGTTCCTGCTGCATTTTATTTCATGAAAAAATGTTAATCAGATTTCCTTTTATTGAGAGGCAGATCTTGGTGCAGAGTTTAAAACTCTGGCACTTGAGTGCCAAGATTTGCAACCCAGCTCTGCCACTTCCTGTGCAACTTTGGATCAGTCCCTTAAGTGTTCTAAGCCTCACTTGTTCCAGCTGTTTGATAAGAGTAATAATAGAATCTACCTTATATTGTGGTTGGGAGAATGAAATGAGTTAATACACTTAGCACAATGGCTGGTACATGGCAATCATTCAATAAACAATAACTGTCACTATTATTTAATGAGACAGGGTACTTGTCAAGGGAGGAGACAATACCTATTCATTGATTCATTATTAGACACCTACTATGCGCCAGTGCCTGACACTGCTAGATAATGAGACTTTAGTTTGGACAACTCCCAAAACAGTTCTTGACTGGTAGTAAATGTTAGAAAATAAAGCTGTCAAGCTGAACAATGTAAAGATTAAAAAGATGCTTAAGCCCTTAAGGAGCTTATAATTTTCAACCTACTATTGATTCAAATCAAAGTGCATTTTACGAATTAACATCTTTATTTTAAACATCCTGAATAATGCCTCCCGCTACCCTTGGATAGTCCTCAGCTCAGGAGCTGGTGTGGGTGTGAGTGGGGCCTAAGTTCCCATAGGCTCAGAGCTCTCCCTGTGTGAAGGCTGCAGCTACATCATCAGCTGGAAACTCTTCTAACAGTTAAGACTTTCTGAATTGGGCCCTGAGCAGGGGCTGCCCCCATTTTGAGGAGGTGGATTGTTGCACTGTCTTTGTCTTGTTTTCTGTCCCCCAGAGCATGATGACCATTCTGACCAGCAATTCCACTTCCCATCAACAGGAATATCTATAAGAAAGAAGGTCAATGATTATTAATTAGCCCTTACTGTACATTGGAGCCCTACTGGGTGAGGTAGGGGTATCATTATTATTATTCAGACACTTGGAATCTGAATCCCTGACTGCTCCCCTTCAGTCACTTTCTTAGAGGCAAAGATATTTCACATACTCTCCCCTCACCACAGGGCCTTTGCACATGCTATTCCTCTTGTCCAGAGGACTCTTTTCCCCTCTCCTCATCTAGTTAACTCCTAGTCATCCTTCTTATGTCAGTTCAAGTGTTATTTCCTCAGGGAAAATTCCTTGAGTCCCCATTCTCCCATTAGTTCCCACTATTTTAAGATCTCATGTTATTTTGTAGCAATTATTACCGTTGACAGTTTAAATGTATTTCTGGGACATCTCACATGGCGTTGATCTTTGCTTCTAAAGAGCAATCTCTGTGATTACTCCATTTGCTCACCTAGGCTGGTACCTAGGAGGCACCCAGTAAATTTTTGTTCAATGGATGGATGCATATATTGTTTCTGCTTAGACACTTCCCAGATATGGGATGCTAGGTAGCTTACTTAATTTCTTCTCAACCTATCAAATGGGAGTAATGTTATCTATTGTGAGTGCTATGTGTTCTAAATGAGATAACAACAAACATTGGTGGTTCTTACCCTCCAAAACCCGCCCTTCGCCTGAGGACTTTAAAAAAAATAATAATAATAAGATTGAAGAAATAATTAATTATTGCCACCATGGTTTATCATGTATCTTGCTGAGTCAGTAATGCTCAGTGTAACTCTGGGTAAATTACTTAATATCTCTGGTCCCCCTCCTCCTCCTCATTTGCAAAATAAGAAGGCAGGGGGGAGTGGTTTCTAAGGTCTTGTCCAACCATAAGAAATGGTTGTATAATTGCACACTCACTGGGCAGATCATTGTTTGGGAACTTGGTTGAGGTGTGTGAGGAGAGGGAGTGAGGATAGCAGTGAGCATTTTACTGGGGAGGTGGAACATGCAGGCATTAGGAGCAAAGGCTATGATGTCAGACTCACTGGAGTCTAGGTTCTTAACGCTTATTAACTGTGTGACCACTGGGCAAACTAATTAGCAACCCACTGAAGCTCAGTTTCCTCATCTATAAAATAGGGATATCAATAGCATTACTGCACAGGATTATTGTGAGGACTAATGGATTTAATATATGTAAAAAACAACATAGTGGCTAAAGCACTTGACTGCTACCCAGAAGACTGGCGGTTCAAACCCACCAGCCACTCCTCGGAAGGAAGGTTGGGCAATCCTACTTCCATAGTGATACTGCCTCGGAAACCCAAGGAGGGGTCGCTATGAGTCGGGGCCGACTCGATGGCACATAACAACAACAACAAAAAACAACATAGCTAATATTCATTTTCCTCTTACAATATGTCAAGCACTATTCTAAGCGCTTTATATGTGTCATTACAAACTTATGAAAATGCTGTGAGGTAGTGTTATTATCACCATCTCTATTTACAGATGAGGAAAGGAGGCACAGAGATGTTAAGTAACATGCTCAAGGTCACATTTATTAAATAATGGAGATGGAATCTGAATCCACTTGGACTTCAGGAACTAACCAAAGGGCCTGATACAGAGTAAAGTGCCTAGTAGGCGTTTTCTGTTTTTATTAGTGTATTATTCCTTTTCTATCTTGGTATCACCAAAAAAAATATATATATATATATATATATATATATATATATACAAAAAAGGAAAAAACAGAAAGGAGCAAAGGGAGTTGGTTGTAGAGAAATCGGATAATAACAATGATGTTGGCCAAAGAATGTGAGAGCAGGGAGGAGTCTTAGTGATAGTCCAGTCTTTCATTGATTCATTCATTCATTATTTTAACGTATATGTCTGAGCAGCAACTGTGTGCCAGACTGTGTTCCAGGATCTGGGACACAGAGGTGAATTGGACATGATCTCTGCTTATAGATGCAGGGGAGACAAACACACACACACAACCTGAAATATGATGTGCTGAGCTATAGTAGATACATGTTCAAAGTCCTGTGGGACCCTACAAAAGAATGAGCAAATTCTACTTAGAAGGTTAGAGAATTTTTTACAGAGGAGGGGGCATCTGGACTGGATTTTGAGGACTGAACAGGAGTTCACTAAGCAGAAAAATATGATAAGCTTTTCAGAGAGATCCAAACAGATTATTTGGAAGTGCCATGCTTTGGTAGTCCTGTCACCTGAGTGTTCCCAGTTGTAAACCTAACGCAATATAAAATCAGGAGCCGAATGTAACTCATTTCATCATGTCCAGCCTCCTACCACACACTCTCAACTTGTTTCTGTTCCTTTGAATTATTCTCTGAAATTTCCCAGAGTTCCCTTTACCATCCAACTCTCAAAGATTCCTTACTTGTTCGAGAGGTGACCTCACAGGCTGGGCCTCGGAATCCAATGGGACAGATACAGTCACAACGTGATCCTAAGAAGACAATGCAGAGAGAGTGTGAATCACTCCATGTGCAGCAAAGGACTCCTGGAGCTCAGCCTTCCACAGAACCATGTTTCCATGAGGTTAAGATGGGACAAACTTTTCCTTGAGTGCTTTGCAGTAAGCAGGTTCGGTGCCAAGAGTACCTATTTCTTTCTTGAGGGCTCTTGGCTTGTGAAAGAATATTAACATCGTGAGAAATTATATGTAGTTGTTGGGGAAAATTACTGGTTAGTTGACATTTGGCCCATAATCAGAAGATTTCAAGATTGGAAGCTACCCAGGTTAGCTCAAGAAGTAAAGAATGATACCTCTGAGTACTCTGCTCTTTTAAAAAATTGTCTCTATGAGACCAAATGGACAACAGTGACTCTAAAGCATAGATGAGAAGCTTAGGAAGCAGTGAGACTAAATTAATGGCAATGAAACTGCTAGAATAGAAATAATGAGAATGTTGGCACAATGTAAACAATGTCACCATTGCACCAAACATTATGTGTAGAAATTGTTGAATGTGAGCGTGTTTGCTGTGAATATTTTCACCAAAAATACACTCAAATATTTTTTTTTTTCAAAGATTGGAAGCTATATCAGAGGTCACTATACGGATGGTCAGTTTTCCCACAAATTGTGTACTGCTTTATTCAAGTGATGAGGAACTTATTGCCCTTTGATGTCTCATCTTATGTTCAGTTAATTCTGACTTGTTGGAAGTTTTTATGTGAATCTGTAATCTGTAAACTTAGAGCCCCTCTCACACAAAAAATCTCTTTGTGGATTATTTCATATGTCAGGCCCTGTGAGCATCCCAGCCTCTGACTCCATATTCTCCCACATCTTCACCCCAAAGCCTCAGTTGAGTCCCAATTTCTAGGTTCAAATTTTACACAAGGTAAGGAGGGTTTCAGCAACCCTAGGTCAAAACTTGAGGAGATGGTTTGATCCCACTTCCTGCTGACCTGACCTTCACTGAGATGCCCTTGTTCTGATGGCTGGACTGCCATGCTTTAGGAAGGATCTCACTTATTATGTTCTTTTCACTCGTATCCACCCTGCCTGAGAAACTAGAAACATATTTCTCAATCCCAATCTGATGGGTGGAATCTTTCTCCCTGCAAACAAGCCTTCTCTCATATTCCCTCTGCTGAACTCCATCCATGTGGGTTCTGCCCTGACTCCAACTGACTGCCTAGGCTGAAACCATGCCAGTGGCATCACTTGAGTTGGTGTCATCCAGTTCAGTAACTAATGGTGTCATACCCTCATGGACCTCCCCCCATACTAGACCATACAGAATCCTTAATAATGTTTACTATCAATTTTAATCATAGAATGGTATATGATAAATATAGTTGTAAATTGCTTCAATGTAATATTTTTTGGATTATATGAATACTTACTACAAAACTGTCTTATAAAATCTTTCTACAATGAATTACAAACATTACTAGTTACAACATTATTATTAGTAATTGAGTGGAAGCCTTTTGTGATTTTTCTCCTTTTCCTTTAATTACAACTTCATTTTCAAATAGTTACTGATAAAAGTTCACAAATACTACTTACCACAATATTGTAGCTAACACACCAGGAATATTGACAAAATCAGCAACTACAAAAACACGAGCGGCAAGAAAACAATAGTGTGTGCTTGTAGCCCATGCAGATGAAACAATGTGATTTGATGCAATGTTGTAATTGGGAAATAATGACAGCTTTGGCCAAAGCCCATTAGAAGTTTCAAAAAGAAAATTAGCATAGAGTTGTAGCCTTGTAGAGCTACTGATACATGTAAGCTGGGCTTAGGGAAAATGTTTTTGTTGTTATAATTAACTATAGGAATACTTTTATAAAAATAATAAATTTATGCTGAAAAACTGCACAAAAATTTGATAGACAGTCATTTTGGTGTCATATTCTCTGACAGTGTCACCCGGTGTGGCCCACACACTCCCATCCCTTTAGTGAGACCATTGCCTGATGTCCTGTTATGGGTGTTAGAATAGACTTGCCCTAAGAATCTTGCTAGCCCATCAGAACAGGAGTGTATAATCTCAGGACCCAGCCCCTCCCAGACTTCTCAGCCCCCTGCAGTGACCACTGACATGACCCTTAAAGTTGGCAATCAAAGTCTGGTGCCAATTCTTGCCTCTCCCTCTAATACTCTCACCATGTATTAGTCCCAGTATGCATAAAGGATTTCTCATGCTCAGCCCTAGGCCCCTTCTTTGATTAAGAGAAAGTTCCTGAGTCTGTCCATACTCAGTGTTACAGGCTGTAGGGTCTCAGTCTACTCCTGTATTCAGTTTAATGCTACTGTTACCCACTCTGTCACTTGGTGCTAGAATCTAGGTGTCCTGACAGCCTGAATAGTATGTCCCATTTGCCTACTTTCATCCATCTTGGGAAAAAGAAGTGGGCAAACAGCTGGTCCCAGAGCTTGCCTCCTCAATATGATGGCTTTTATGAAGGACAAGAGCTGCTGGACAATAGTACCTTTCAGGACAGGGACCCCATTCCCTTGGCAGGGAGCACATTGGCAAGAGCTGACTTCTTTCTGGAACTCTTCCAGGGCCTTCTTCATGTTCTGTTTCACTGTACTGGAATATGCAAAGTCTGTGGCTGTCACCAGTTCATATAGAGGCTCTGCCTGGGAAGGAAAGAAAAGCACTTATTTCAAGAGAAACACTTATTAGTTGATATGGAAGTCAAGGCTACACAAGAATTGGCAGGGGTCAGTACACAGAGACCATAGGGGATTCATAAAGAACTGGGTGGATGCTACAGCATGTGAATGGATGCCCAGTCCAATGCCTATACTTTGCCATAGAGGTGCCTCATTTTCATTTTGTTTCCCCCACTGTTATAAATTGAATTATGTCACCTCAAAATATGTTTGGTCCTTAGAAATTTGGAAATAGAAATACCATTTGATCTAGCAATCCCACTACTAGGTATATATCCTAAAGAAGTGAGATAGGAAATTAATAGATATATACACATCCATGTTCATTGCAGCACTATTCATAATAGCAAAAAGATGGAAACAACCTAAGTGCCCAGCAATAGATGAATGGATAACCAAACTATGATACATACACACAATGGAATACTATGCAACATTAAAGAATAATGAAGGATCGGCAAAATACCTCATAACATGGATGAACTTGGAGGACATTAGGCTGAGTAAAATAAGCAATCACAAAAGGACAAATATTGCATGAGTCCACTATTATAAAAAGTCAATGACATGTTTGCATACAGAAGGAAACTTTCTTTGATGATTACTCCAGATGGGAGGGGAGGAAAAATTCCTATCTAGGTAAGAGACATGTACTGATTTGGGTGAAGGGAAAGACAGTATATCAAAAGCAGGTGACCAGCACAATATCACTAAGGAAAAGGAAGACACGGAGAGGTGCACAAGAAATACAGACAAAAAGGTAAATGCTATTGTACACACGATACTGCATTATCAATAATAACAAACATTAATCTATAGGTAGACATGCAAGGTGAGCAGGTATTGATAGTCAAATGGGAATATACCATCACCAAATGGTGACATAGTGCCTAAGGCATTTGAGTGCTAACCAGAAGGCTGGCAGGTCAAACCCATCAGCCAGCCACTCCTTGGGAGGAAGATGGGGCAATCTACTTCTGTAGTGATACTGCCTCGGAAACACAAGGAGGGGTCACTGTGAGTTGAAATCGACTTAACAGCATATTACAACAACAATATATGTAAGTTTGGCAGATGCTATTTCTACATATGTGTCTTGAATCTCTATTGCTGCTATAACAGACATATCACAAGTGGATGGCTTTAACAAACAGGAACTTACTCTCTTACGGTTTAGGAAGCTAGAAGTCCAAAATCAGAGTGCCAGCTCTGGGGACTAGGTAAGGCCCCTTGACCTTGGGCTTCAGCTCTGCCTCTTATTCCAGGCCCAATGGAGCTAGAGGCATCTCCTAACTCAGGCAGATGCTGGCTATTGAGGTTGATGAACCAAACGTTGGCACGTAAATAGTATAGCCCCAAGATGAGCAGGCAACACAATAGGCCAAAACTTGGCTGAATGCAGATCTAGATATGCCAAAAGTTAGAGACCTTAAAACTTCACCCCAAAGCCAACTAATTAGCTGCTCACAGCAGATTCCACCATTGAGTTGATTACACCACATTCAATCTCATCCAGCCACCCAGCCACTCAAAACCATTACCCAGCCATGTTCACACACAACTTTAAACGACCACAATATGTATTTGTATGTGACAAGAAAATGTCCACATATATAATTCAGCTAACAGGGGGTAAAGTTATGATAACTTCTTAACTGCAACCAAGTACCTTGAGGGGGTGAGTTGCTGGGCCTGTGGGCTCAGGACCATGGTTGCAGGAGACATCAAGCTCGAGACATAATATAGTACACAAAAACATTGTTCTGCATCCTACATTGGTGAGTAGTGACTAGGGTCTTAGCTTACAAGCAACCATCTAGGATGCGACTATTGATCTGTCCTCGTCCAAACCAAAGGAGAGTGAAGAAAATCAGACACATGGATACAATTAGTCCAAGGGACTAGTGGACTGTGGGAACATCAGCCTATATAATAACCCTGAGAAAAAAGAAATAGATGGTGACAGGCTACCACGGCCAATCACTTGGAAAGGGATCAAAATTGGAGATCCTAAATAGATTGGGAAACAATGTGGAACAAAACTCAAATAAAAAAACAACCAGGCTAACTTGCTTGATAGAGACTGGTAAAACCTCTAAGACTGTGGTCCCTAGTCACCCGTTGGCTCTGGAATTGAACTTATTCTCATGGCTTGACTTTCAGTCAAATAATAGGTCTATGAGCTGAAAAATTACACCAGTGAGGTGCGGTCTTTAGAACAATAAACTATTGGAGATCAGAGGGCACCAGTAGCATACGTAGAACACTCAGGTGGCAGGAATGCCTAGGGAAGAAGGACACAGGGAAAAGGTAACCAAAGGGAGGAAGTGGGAAGAGTGGGGATTGCAATCAATGTCTCAGAGTACAATGTCTATGAACTATTGAATGGAAAATGAATTTTCTCTGTAAACTTTTACCCAAACCACAACAAAAAATTAAAAAATAAAGTGCTGTAATTCTGACTCCTACACATGTGGATGTAATACTATTTCGAAATTGAGTTTTCTTTGCTATGTCAATATAGTGTGAATCTATTTTTTTTTAATATATATATATATATTTATTGTGATTTGGGTGAAAATTTACAGAGAAAATTCATCTTCCATACAGCTGTTCACATACGCTTTGTCTCATGGCATTGACTGCAATCTCCTACAATGCAACATCTCCCCTCCCACTTCCTCCCCATGGCCACCTCTTCCCTGTGTCCTTCCCTCCCATACACTCCTGCCCCCCAAAGCTGTCTCCCTGTGCATACACAGCCCTTCTATTCTCCTATGATTGACCTCTCAAGGAGTGTATCTACCTAATGTAAATGTTCAGCTCATATCCCTGTCTTTTGTTTGGCTGGAAGCCACAGGAGTGGGTTCAATTCCAGACCTGAAGGGCAGCTAGGGGCCATAGTCTCAGGGGTTCCACCAGGCTCTCTCAGACCAGCAAACCTGGTCCCTTTTATTTTTTTCTTCTTTTTTTATGATTTTGAGTTTAGTACCACATTGTTCTCCCACTCTGTCCAGGATCTCCTACATAAATCCCCCTCAAAGTGGTTGACAGTGGTAGCTGGGCACCATCCAGTTCTTCTGGTCTTATAGTCATATGGGCTGAGGATTGCATGGTGAGCCAGTTCCTTGGACTAATTGTTTCCATGAATCTTTGGTTTTCTTCATTTTTCTTTGCTCTGGACGAGGAGAGGCCCATCATTGCATCTAGATGGCTGCTTGCAAACTTTTAAGATCCCAGTTGTATAGCGTGTATATTAAACCTAATCTCTTCTGAGTTATAAAAAGAAGCATAGATACAGAGATAAACATGCACAAACATGGGATGAGAGATGCCACATGAAGATCACCAAGGAAGCAGGGAATGCTGGAAGAGACAAGGACTTTCTGCTGAGGCGGAGAGAGAGAGAGCCTGCCCCTAGAGGCAGTTCCCTGAATCAGGACTTCTACCTTCCTGAACTTTGAGAAAACAAATTTCTGTTCTTTAGTGCCACCTACTTGTGGAATTTCTGTTATAGCATCATTAGGAAACTAAGACACCCACCCCAATATACCCAATTAAGTTCATTCAGGTTCAGCTCAACTAGCACTTACTGAACAAAGACTAAGTGCTAGGTATTAAACATAAATGATGATAGGAAAAACCTCCTACTCTCAAGGACCTCTGTATCTAGATATAGAGGTAAATCTACCTTCGGATGGTTATAATGCAGTGGTTACAAGTCATTGGGAAAATGTGTAACAAAGACAGAAGAGTCATGGTTAATCTGTCTTTGGTGGGAGCCAAAGAGTGATTATCAAACAAAACTATTGTTGTAACATCACTTCCTCCTCTAAGCCTATCAAATCATGCATGTCATGCTAGAGCCACCAACAGGAAGCATTTCCAGAGCTCTGAAGATCACAGAACACCTTCTCTCCATTAAGCTCTCAGGATGCTGCCTGTGTTACTCAGCTGATACCAATTCTATCTTTTGCTGTTCTTTATGGTCATTAATTATTTTTTATGTACAAGTCTTCCTTTTCCTTCCTTAATTGTATCTTAAGTTCTTGGATATCAGAGCTATGGACTATCCAGTTCTCTGTCTCTAGGCCCAGTCAAGAACTTGCTAAACCAACCAATCAGTTGCTGTCAAGTGGATCTGAATCGTGTGTACCCCGTATATGTCTGAGTGGAGCTGTGCTCCATAGAGTTTTTGATGCGATTTTTTTGGGAAGTAGATTGCCAAGCTTTTCCTCTGAGGCACTTCCAGGTATTCTTGAATCTTCAACTTTTCTGTTAGCAGCTGAGCACATTAACTTTTGCACCATTCAGAGACTCCTGGACCCAGTCCAGAGTTGAGTAAATACCACTAATAAAAGTAGATGGAAGGATGAAAGAGGGATGGAAGGCCTAATTAGAGCAATGGCAGTAGGCATGAAGGAGGGAATGTAAATACAAGAAAGTATAAGCAGAAACAGCAGATGATAGCCGCTCAGTAGATATGGCTGTGGTTGAGAGGGAGATGCCATAGGTAGATGTGGTGTCATTTGTGGTGTAGGAAAAACAGAGGCAAAGTTTACAGAGGTTGCTCTAGGCATTAGTTGCAGTCCAGGGCCAGGTTCCTCTCCAGATTTTTTTTGTGATCTTGTCCTAATCCAGTCCTGGAGAGTTTAGGATCTGTCTAAATGCAGGCAATCATGCCTAATAGAAGCCTCCAGTGGGAAGAAAATTGCTTCTATTTTTTAATGCATCTAATGCTGACCTTCACTCTAATGGGCAAAGTAAGGCCCCTTGGTGGTCCCATTGTCTCACCAGTTGTGGTCAATGAATTGATCCAGAGACTGTTTGAAGAACCATCCCACCCTGCTGGCCACATATCTGGGGGTGAGGAGTGGGAGGAGGGAATGGAAAAGGGAAGGTGGAGGGCTTGCTTACACCAATGAAGAGCTCCCCCAACAGTCTGCTTGCCCTTCCTGAGCACC